AATTGAGCACTAGGTATGAAGTTAATAATAAATATTTTTTTCTGTGGTATCCCAGTGAGTAGAAAATTGTACTTCTGACGTTTCGTGACTTAATGTAAGCCAATTCTTTAGAGCAAATAAATAACCAAAATAACATTAACACAGGTTTAAATAGCATAAAGGAAACAATGCAGAATATTTTATTAGTACAAGCAAAATCATAGTAGGCCTGAAGATGTCATTATCAATTTATTCTTGGTCAAGGTGAATTTGCAGAACACGTCAGTGTATTAATTTGTGCGTCAGAAGGTGGGTATAAAAAATGTATACATTTGTAAAATGAGATTGAGTGTGTGTGGAGGGGGGTTGTGTGTAGATTTTGTAGAAAGTGAACGGGGTCAAATGTGGTTGTTTACATAAACAGTCCAGCTTGGATGAATGGTCAGGCCTTCTTTCCTGTTGAGGACAGAGGGATTAATTATTATGTACAACGCCTCGGCTACTCACTTCTTTGTGGTTGAAAGAACCATTCTGAATCATTTTAATATTTCGAATATTTATTTTGTGATTGGTGAAAATAGCATGTACTGCTGTTGTTGATTTAACTTGTAGATTCTCCAACTCAACAGGATTACCAGGTTTTCTTGTATAACTTATACGTTTTTTGGAACGAGAGATTTCATGTGAAGACTCTCCAAAGTAGAACACATCACAATAGAAACCATCTAATATTCAGACACAATCTTAAGTAGATGTAAATGAGATCTTATCTTTTATTCTAACTAAGGGATTTCCAAAAGTGTTGAATGCCTTATAGAAAGGTTTACTTCAACAAATTTCAAAGATCCATCGTAATTCTTCTGTTGTACCTTGGCAGCAAAGTCAAACCACAGTGCCAATCCAAGATCTTTCAATATAAATGTTATTTTAAGAAGGATATATTTGTTTCAATATGTTTTTATTAATATTCTTAGAGAAATTATCAAACCGTAGGACGTTTATTATTTTATATTTTTGTTTTAGCTTGTCTTCTTTTGAGGTAATGATCTTGGATGCCCTTCTAAAAAATTCAGGGATAGGAAAATTTTTGCACTGAATAGATGTGCCGAGTTAGAATCAGTATATCGGTTTGAATGTGTTGGTATTCGGTGTTTGGTTAGAATATTAATGGTTATCCAGTAACATATCTATCATCTAATCAACATCAAATGATACTTGCCAGTTTCATTTATGAGTCTGTAGAGTTTAATCGGAAAAAACTAGTTATGGACATTATACTTGTGGATTCCAACACAACGAGCTACAGACTAAACTCTCACTGTAAGATTTGAAACTTCTGACCTCGTTCCCTGGTGATGTCAAAGTTAAGTACAACTGATGAGATGTAAACTAAGTATGCTACAGATTTCAGTGATTTACTGCAACTAAGATCAATTGATACTAAGAACAATGAACAAGTAAAATAATCATTTGTTAATATTTATTACTTGGAATACATTCTGGTCATTTTCACGTCAATAAATCTTTGTGCATTAATACTTTTACAAACATACACTCACAAACGTACAATCCATAAAAGTATAATCATTAAGCAGCAATGCTAATGATTAATTTGTCAAAACTATTCAATACAACCCATTTAAATAAACTTTTATAGGTTGTTTATTTTAAATCGTTTATATTTTATTAAACAATACATTTCACTTCAAAATATCTCAGATTTAGTAAAATAGGTATTTTCGTTACGACACATCTCTTCAAGCTAAAAATTTGACTCAAATAACTTTCACATGTGTGAAGTTTATTGAGTATCAAGTTAAAGCGAAGTTGTTCAATCCTATTTTAATCAGATTCCTCTGTAGTGCATACTCACAACTCTACCCCTAACCAGGATGGTTACTTTTAAACCAGTGAGATCAATGAAGGATATATTCAAAATTTAATTATCAAACAATGAATAATTATGAAATAACACGGTATTGATAAACATCTGTAATATTGTTTAGAATATGATTTAGAAATATAGGAATTAGAAATATGTGTTTACCTAATATATATTTTTAAAAAATTCAACTTCTTATTTATCATAGTGACATCAAAAAGTTGTTTATTATTATTATTATTATTATTATTATTATTATTATTATTATTATTATTATTAGTAGTAGTAGTAGTAGTAGTAGGCATTACTTTTAATTCAGTACAACTAGTTTCAGTGTTCTATCAATAAATATCAATGATACACAGTGAGTTATATATGTAAAAAAAATACAGGAAAAAGCTGTTTTTTAAAACACAAATGTTACGCATACATAACTCTATGATATTTAACTTCCTGGTCAATGTTCAGTAAATCTTATTATGTTTAGACTTTTCTATTAAAAAATTATAGACATGTAATATATCATTTTCAAATGAATTGGTAGACTGTTCAATCGATTTAATTCAGTCGGAAAAATACTTATTATCATTAATAATATTTTAATAATAGAGATTAATTCAATTTATTTTGGTTTCTTTTAAAGTTTCTTAATGGGAAATCAGGGTTTTGTTGGCTGGTGTTATTCGAAACCTATTCAATGCTCAATTATTATCATGTACCCAGCACTATTGACCATTTTCCCATCCATTAAATGGATGGGGTATTGTATATTAGTGTGATTTTCATATCAAATCGTAACCTGCACAACATTTGTGCTTTTATCAAACATAGTGGGCTATGCCATACTGAGAAGATTATAGGATTTAGTTGAGAAAAGCTGAAGACGCTTCAAAAGAAATTTTAGTGAAATTATACTTCTATATGCATTACTCATCTACTAGATAGATGGAAAAATGAACGAAAACGTTAAACACATGATAATTATTGATTAGTGAAACATTGCTAATAGCTCCAACTATTATTTCTAAATTCAATGGCAGACATATAATTTTTCTAAAATGAGTTTACCAGAAATCAATTTATAAAGAAAACATAGTACTTTAAGACAAGCTAACAAAGACTATTTACAAAGTAAAGTTTCAAGAAATTATCTGGTAATTAGATTCTTTGTACGGAAATACTAGCGAAACTATCGGTCTACCTAGAACGAAAGTAGGTGAGGCGAGGTTTTGAGCTTTCAATCTGATGGCTGAAAGATAAGTGTTATAACCAGTAAACTATCTATTTCATGATGCTTCATAAAATACTTAAATCTCATCTGCTTACATACATACAGTTAGAGCTTTATAAATTAATTGTGAAATTGTTTATAAACTTGAACATTGTATTACAAAATATCCTGAAAATAGTTGTTATGTTGAAAAACATTGAAGTGATCTATTGTTCACCAAAACAAAATTTAGAATTTTGTTTGAATTCTAATGAATGGTTTTATAGTAGTTGAACATCTAGTTAATGTAAGACATTAATAGAATAAAATTATATTGGTTAAAACTCTCAGCGACTGAACTTCAAGTAAATAGAATGTTTCATTTAGCAGTCTGTTTCAATCCTCTTTAAGGGGAAATAATTCTACATTAAAAATATCGAAAATAAAAATAAAATTCAAAAACTGTAATAAACATGTCGTAAAATCACAATAACATGGTTGAATATAGAATATGTTGTAGTGTTCATGGATGATTTGGTAGGAAAACCAGATATAAGAAGTATATTCAGATCTGATGTCAGAAAATTTCATGGATATTATATGACCTCAGGTTATGGCCGTTGATAAAATTAGACAAGGTAATAAATACTATCTAGCAAACTTGTCACAGCATGAATCGAATGAAAATGAAGAAACAAGTAAATATAAGTTTAAGTGGTTGTGCTCAATGACTTGGTTGTTTACCATCCATTTAGACAAAATAACTGATAAGAACAAATGAGAGAACCATTCATTTACATATGATGACTTTAAAGTTTAATTATCTCCCTTTAAAGAAGCTTGAGCCAGACTGCTAAGTTTAAGAATGAATTTACTTTAAGTTCAATCGAGATTTCTACAAAAATAATTTTCTTCTTAAATACAATATATGGATTTCTAGCTTAGAAATTAATTTATACACGTACATTAAGTTATTATTAGACTGTACATTAAGAACTGTCATAGGTACGCGAAAATACTATTTTTGGCTTCATACATTGACGAGTCATCATTATTCCAAGAGGTTAAAATCAGTATCTCCTTCAATGAGTTAGCTCTTACATCATCGGTTAACCTGTCTTTAGGTATGTCGTTTAAATTCAATATTTTAAAAGGTCAGTTAAGTTTTGCAGAACAAACCAGCTGTGATTAGCCATAGAACCCAACATTCACGTTTCGTACTATCCGGCACTCACTTCGATGTACCTAAGTTCCAGCTTGCGTGTTCTTATGAGGACTCAAACTTAGTACCTTTCCGTTAAAACGGTCAATCCCTTATCTTCTAAGTTGTTATATTCAAACAGTCAGTCATTTGTACAACAGGCATGATAATTATAACATTCTATCGTAGAGAACGAAACGCGCATCACACAATCCGTTTATTCTACAAAAACATGGGACAAAATCCTTATATCGAGTTAATCCGTAGAGGATACATATATGCCAACAATGACCGACCAAATCTCAACTAAAAGTATGAACAACGAGATAACTCAAACATTTTCTGATAATGATAGAAATGCATATGCACATTTTGAAGCATCACAAAATTTTTTCAGAGCAGTAAAAAGTGTCTTTCGAAACATGAGATTTCTTCTACCAATTGGTAACGTTAAGAATGGCTGATGACTTGTCAACCATTTGACACAGACTGATCAAACGAGTCTCAGATAGTTCAGACAGTCAGAGTTCAGTTCCTAAATTATTGGGTAAAGAATAGTTGTGTTTGAAGCTGGTAAAGTAAACTAGTTTAATATAAAATCTCTAAGCACAAACCTGGAATGCAAATATTCTAAATGCAAGTCTTTGTTAAGAGATAGAACGGAAATCAGAAATAAAAATGGAGTTCATTATGGAATTAATTAAGTAAACCTAATGACAGTCACTTACCGTGACGAATAGGTTTTAAAGTGATAGAAGTACCACTATCAATACTCCTAGTATTATTAATATTATTATTGTTATTTCAATCCAATATATATTGGTTGTTTGCATTTTCCCGATGATGTTTCAGTCTGTTGGCATTTATGCATCCTATGTGAATTGCCTGCTAGCCAACATCCCAATTCTGCTCATAATGCCTGTAAGGAAATATCAAGGCAATTCACACAGTATACACATATTCCAAAATAGTCTTATCAATTGCAGTTCTAAACTTCAACTGAAAAATCGGAACAACCAGTGGATTATGTGATGGTGTTTGAACTGAACAGTACTGAATTCGTGTCGTGGAGTAACCATCGATTTCGAGATCTCGGTTTATCCAGCTGACGAGTCCTAAATAGGATGGGACACATGTACTGGATTGCACTGCTAATTGCCATCCATCTATGCGTAAAATCACTATTGTTGTTATTATTATTAATATTTTTATTGGATGGACTTAAATTACAATGTTTTGCAGCGAAGAAAATTTTCTTATCGACGAGATCATATATATATATATATATATATATATATATATATATATATATATATATATATATATATATATATATAGTTATGTGGGAAATGTATGTCTGTAGGAGGATAGAAAAAATTGCATCACCAAAATGGATTCGAAGATAAATAACAAATGAGGTTACGTAGTAATCAAGGGGTAAGGAAGAAAATAATTTATGGGTCAGATAATAGGTCCAATTGACAAATATGAAGAAAAGGGACAAACACAAAGGTCATAATAATAAACTGAATAATAATCGAAAAAACTTGTATAAGGTAATAATAATAATAACTGATAAGAGTTTAAAATCCAAAATGGGTTATTTTAATTATCTGAAGAGTTGCAAGGACCCGGTGACAGTAATGGAACCCAGTTTTTCTGTCAAGCTTGCCATAGTGAATACCAGAATCAATTTTCTGAAAAGCTGTTTAGACAAACATGAATATCCGAGACCATTTTTTAAATCATTACGCCGAAACCACATCCATCCAAATCATCGTTCTTTGAAACGCCTTACGCTGAATTATGTCGATGAAATTAAGTCTAGAATACCGGAATTGGAAAGGAATATTTCTTTGCTTTCACATATATTATTTGATTTGTCAGAAGATCAACGTTTCAAATTCAAAGATTACATTGACAATGTTAGCAAAAGTCGTAAAGAAGACGTGATCTTGGAATTAATGAAAACTTTGAAACAGACGGATACTCAGGCTTCTTTTCCTGAGTCTCCAGAGAAATATGTTTTTAATTACTCAAGTATAAAATTATCAACTATTTAGCTACAAGCATTATCTCTTGGTCCTAAATTTTGTAGTACGTCATCCAGTTTGAAAGCCTCACTGGTCAGACTAACGACTTTATTCCAGTATCTAATGAAGATTTTGAGCATTTCAAAACAACTCTTGTGGATTTTTGTAATCAATATGTATATAAAACACCTACAATTAGTCGATTACTCACAAAAGAACATAAATCTCAATTATCTTATCTTCGGAGAAATCAGAACTTAGTGTTATGTCGCCCAGACAAGGGGGCAGGAATTGTCTTTATGGATCGTCTTGACTATGTTACCAAAATATCTTCGATATTATCGGATCCTGTCAAATTCTCTATTGAGACCGTTCAAAAAGACAGCTGAAAAAACTGAACAGATGCTAGTTAAAATCTTAAAGAAAATGAAAGATGGTTCTATTATCATTTGTGACCTCTATGCACATCTCAAACCATCGGGTTCCGTTATACCAAGACTATATGGACTCTCAAAAGTTCATAAGAATAATGTCCCACTACGTCCTATACCTGATATGAACAACTCTCCTTATCACTTGGTCGCTAAATGGTTAGTTGACATTTTACAACCTGTTAAAAATCATGTCAATAAATACGATTCTCTTGACTCCTTTGAATTCGTCGACTCAGTTATAAATATCAACGTAATTGGTAAGAAAATGTTTTCATTAGATGTCACTTCTCTTTTTACAAATGTTCCTCTCACTGAAACCATTTGTCTTTTATGTGACTGTATTGAAAACAATAATCTTGATATGTGCAATTTAGATTTAATGATGTTTTCTATAGACAAATAGATGGAGTTGCAAGGGGTTCTCCATTGGATCCGCTCTTGGCTGATTGCTTCATGGCCAATCTGGAAAATTCTGTACTTCGTCCAATAATTGAGAGATTTCATTTATAGAAGAGATATATGGATGATTTGTGAAGAAGATATGGACCTGTGGAGATAGGCCTGACAAGCTTATTTTGTAAATAGTTTTTAATATTATTTGTATTTATTTTGTCAATCTTTCACTGTCTGTATATTTTATCATTAAATGATTGTACTTGTTGTTTTAGTAAATGACCTTGAACACACTTTCCGTTGTGACACTGACATAGCGTGACATACTCTTGCTGGCTAACAAATACACTTTTACTCACACATTCCTCGTTCTATCTTCGTTTGTGATTGAGTTAACTGAAGTCTAAATCAAATACTATCTACGTTTATAGACTGTAATTGGAATATATCACATCCTATGTTGGATTATATCACTGGAGAGTTCGTCAACCAGATCGGAATTACCAAGCATTATAATTGTGGTTTCTTAGTACCAGACCAAAGCCGAACACACATCAATTTGGTGAACTTAAGTAAAGTCTTAACTTTCTATTGTATTTGTAATAATTAACTTATATATATTAACATTTCTATTGATCTTTATTAACTTTGTTGATACTTTTTGCGTTTATATATCGTCTGGTCCACCACAGACCTAAATGAAATTTTGAACAGTTTCAATAACTGTCACTCCTCAATTCAATTCACCCTAGAAGCAGAGCCAAATAATGGATTTCATTTTCTTGATGTCCGATTAAAAAGAATGCCTGATGGTTTTTACAGCGATCTATATATAGAAAACCTACCTGGAATGGACACCACTAATTTCCATAGTCGGGTCTCATTGAGTAGAAAGAGGAACTTAATTCACTCTTTATCCTCTAGGATCAAGCGAATCTGTCCCACTGACACAATAGATGAGGAACTAATTCAACTTCTACAAACTCTCATCAGAAACGGTTATCCACCTAGATTCATCGATAGTAACTTAACACCTAGAATTCATCATGAGAAAGTGTCAACAGTATAGAAGAAAACGTTGTTCATGATTGTGGAATTTAAAGGAGACACGGCTGCTGAAATCTTAAATAAACGGATTTCAAAATCACTGAATAAAACTTTCTACACAGCCAAGCACCGAATGGTTTTCTCAAGTCGGTCTACCATTCCTGAATGTGTTAAAGATAAACTATAGCTTTGGGCCACATCATTGTGTATTTATAAATTTACGTGCTCATGTGGGGCTCATTACATAGGCCGAACAAAGCGATTACTTCCCAAACGCATCTCAGAACACTATCCGGCTTGGCTTTTAAAAGGAGATTGTAAGACAATCACTAGTTCTATACAGGAGCATTTAATCAATTTTGGACACATCGCTCTCAAACATTCTTCCTTTAAAGTGATCTACAGAGTCAATTCACAAACTCAAACCTGAACTTTGAGTGCACAAGCAATTTGTCCAACCTCTCATCCTTCCTTGGCCCTAATTCCCTTAATGGGTATGCTTTTTGTTTTTTCTGCACCTTTATTTGATTATTATCGCATTTTTTAAAATTATTATTTTGCATTTTAAACTCTTATCAGTTATTATTATTATTACCTTATACAAGTTTTTTCGATTATTATTCAGTTTATTATTATGACCTTTGTGTTTGTCCCTTTTCTTCATATTTGTCAATTGGACCTATTATCTGACCCATAAATTATTTTCTTCCTTACCCCTTGATTACTACGTAACCTCATTTGTTATTTATATATATTATTATTGTTATATATATATATAATTTTTTCATGTTACAACGCAAATGCTCAGTAAAATACATCACCAAGATATATTGCTTATGAAGCGAAGAGATAACATTGGAAAGAAATACATTGGAGAAAATCATTAAGAGATAAAGAGGGAAAAGTATCGGAAATTATAAACTTTGAGATATAAAGTTACCAGCACTACTATTTCTCAGTTGGGATACCATTGAAGATCAACGAACACTGGGAAGTTGTCTCGTCTTAGTGTGAGTCCCTCTAGTAATGTATACCCATAACCCCACTAGGGATAAATAACTTCTTATTATACCAATCAACATAACCTCAGTACCTTGTAATGGACTTACTGATACGAACTTAACATAACCACCTACATTTTCACCATGCTATGCCATAAACATGAGACAATTTCGACATTCTCTACCGCCTTCGCGTCTTTATTTGATTGACTGTACAAAAGTTAACTGTAACGATACTCTTGATGTGTAATTTACCAAGCTGAAGTTTTAAAATAACAACACCTGCTGACTCAGTACCTAGACACACATGGTCAGCACTAAGTACAATGCACGTGATATCACCAATTCTATGAACAAAACCTCTTAAGGTCACAAGCAAGCTACAGTACATGCGATCGTTATATCTAGATTGGCAGAATCTGTTTCAACATTAACAACACTCATACAGGTACTTACATCAAGATATACCTGAACTGCTTTTTATAGCTTATCACCAAGTTTGTGCTCAAATACACTGTACATATACTTTAATGCAATTATCATTTTTTTAGTTTCGTGTTTTGTAAAGGGTAATTTAATTAAAGGTTAGCTTCTTAGTTTGAGATTATACAGAAATTGCTTGGTTGTAAATGTGAAATTTAATAAGGAGGAATCGTGAGCAGAGATAAGAAATATTAGGACGGGGGGTTCATAGGGATGAACGAATTTTATAGGCGATATCACAAAGGGACCTTATTTAGATAACTGATGGAAGCCAGGAGACACGACACAGCTGAAAGGTTACAGTATTGAAATCTTCTAAAGTCTTCATCCACGACCATACCATGGATGAACCCCAGGACCTTCATATTTCACGCAGCAGATTAGACTCTAAATTTATTGGAGTGATCATAATCATACACTAGGTAATGACTAATTCCAAAAGTTATTTCCAGGAGCACTGGTCGGAGTTTTTAATCCGTGAAGTTCAACAATATTGGGTGTGAGATAGTTACCAACCAACAGGACTACATGATGGTTGTACAATACTGCAAATTAATAAAAGTTATGAATGCAAACATTTGGGTATTGGCTTATTGGCCCAAGAGTTAAGCATCCTTCAGATCTAGCAGTCCTGGATTCGACTCCCCGAGTCCCACAGAAGAACGAAACGGCTATTAAATGCTTTTTGGTTTTTATTGGCTGTATAACTATGATAACTTCAAGATATAACCTACAAGATAAAAAGTGTTCGCTGAAATTCATTATATCTCCCGTTGACCCCCGCAATCAATTACGGTTTATTTTACATACAAACCATAAACGTCTAAAAGACTTATGTTTTAAAACGTAATGAACTTACTAGGTAAATGGTGTGAAGACGATTCAGCCGGTTGACCATAGTAATTATGCTCCATTTGATAATCAATATCGGGTAAACGTCCAGATTGTCGACGTAATAATTCCATTTGGTACTGATAAATTAGATGAGATAATTGAATATCCGAAATCTCAGGAAAATATGAAAATGGATTACGTTTATTAGCGTTATTATTACTATCAATATTTTTGTTTGGAGTGCTATAATATGAGTAACTATTTAAACTTGAAGATGGTTGGTGTTGGTGTTGTATTTTTGACTGTTGTGAATATAATGGTCTATTGTTCAATGGATTATTATTATTAGTTTGATAATTAGGAAAAGGAAACCAACTAGACGGATTTTCACGATTCATATGAGCTGTATAACCATCATATAGTTCATGACGTTGATATGGCTTATTATTATTATTATTATTATTATTATTATTATTATTATTATTATTATTATTATTATCCTTTCTGGTCCATGTCTTCTCTTGTTCACGAGGGTACTGTTGAGTATTCATTTCATACATAGTTTGTTGGTCAGGTATATAAAGCGATTCTTGATAATTATTCATTCTTGTATATGGATTATATGGGGAGTATGATATCTGTTTTTGTATTGTTGATTTAGAAGGTGCAAGGTTTACTCTTCTATAGTCAAGTCGTTCATTTGTCTCTCTTTCTGTTAATGACGGTATTGATGATGATACCGATGGAGATTGTCCGTATGATCTTACACTATTCTTATTAAGATGATTAGATTGAGACAACTTCGAATCATACATCAAACGTGTATTGAAAAATTCGACAGCATTGTCCTCATCCTCATTGTCGGTCTCTTCTTGTGAGTTAAAATTATTACGACTTACTCTCTGATAGCGTTGTTTTCTTTGCTGCTGCTGTGTTTGAGAATCTCTTACATATGTTTCATCTGACTGAAAACCTTTCATTTGATCGAAATTGTCATTAAAATCACTCAAAAATGTAGGATACGATAATGATGATGATAACAGTGGATATAATTTTACTTTGTTCAGTTCGTCTGTTTTTTGACCTTTAAACCCAAGGTCATATGGTGGCATAACCACTTTTGGTGTCTTTTGTTGTGATGATTTAGCCGGATGTAAATCTAAATTACCATATCTGCGTTCGTTTTCGGTTGAAATAGGTCTACTTTCAGCATAATCAATTCCACATAGTTCTAAATAAATTAATAATCCAAAGTATATAGTGAATAATGTACTCATTCCATGACTTAAACGTTTACGTTGCGTAAGTCTTTTTGATGTTTTTATTTTACTCTTCAACGTATCGCTTGAATTCCATCCACTGATAAGATTATATATGAAAATGATTGAATCAGTGTGCAATGTAAGTAGTATGACATTTATTTTACTGTAAATTCTATAATTACGAATATCATTAATACTGTTTCTGAAAAATAGTAGTATATCCTTCTGATGATATAATCGTGTACTGAGGTAACATACTGATTTCCAGAACCATATACTTAGAGCACCAAACAATATGCAGAATATCCATGACAGTGATAGTAACAACGAGGATGTCAGTGCTGAGGATGGCAGTGATATTAACTCCACGAAATAAGAAAAAGGGGAAGTGAGTGAATGTGATGAGGGTAGATAGTTGTTAAACCACTCAAAGATACCAGTGAGATAACAATGAGATGAATGACTAAAATAATAATGAATTAAAATCAATGATATTAATAAAAGTCGTAGCACTACCAGTATTATTATTATCAGTAGTAGTTGTTGTTGTTGATGTAGTATTTCCGATAAATTTAAAACAGCTGACAATAATGGTGATAAACTTGACAACGTCCGCTGGGAATTGAACATGAATTTGTTCAAAGTGATCTTACTTATTTTGTTTTGTTTGTTACTTATTATTCAATAAATTGATTAATGAAATAATTACTGATTTGATAAATCAAGCGTTGAGTTTTCAATTTTTTTAAATATTTATTTTCCACTTTCTGCCTTTCACTCTTTGAAATAAATAATTCAAAGTTCACACATAAACTACAATATTACATTGTTTTCATAGAAGTTAAAAGATTCAATGTAATTTTATCCAAATTCCCATGCATAATGTATAAGAAAATAGATTTCAAAGAAAAATAATAGTTCGTGCATCACCCCGTTCTATTGCGTAGTGCTGATTACTGTTTTTGTTCTTATTTCGTTTCGTACTTTGTCACCTTTGTTAATAATAATAATAATAATAATAATAATAATAATAATGGCGTTGTTTATGGTCGTCAAAATCCTCTATGTTTTCAACAGTTCTTGTCTATGAATTTTCTAAGTGATTAAAATTTCAGTTCACCAATTGATTAGTAATATAATTTCCATACAGTTTTCAGAAAGATTTTTCTAATATTCCTGATAGTTAAATATTGAATAAATAATTATAGAACATTATTTTATGTGAATCATAGGATGCAATAATTGGAATATATTCAAATCACAAAATAAAATAACAGACAATAGTCGCTGATCATTTTGGCCGGAGTGAATATCATCGTTTCTTGTGTTTCTACTGTTTATTATATCAAATTACGTATGCTTACAAAGTGGGTATGTGTATGTATGAAATGGTATGTATCGGTACGTGAACTAGTGTGTTGATTTATTTAAATAATTGAGTGCAAATATATATGTATGATTGTTACGTATATATATATATATATATATCATGTTCAACGTTCAATACGATTGACACACAGAACCTGCGCATTCACATACAATTGATAAAACTGAATTGGTACACAAATTTAAAATTTCTTGTTGGATGGTAGTACATTCCATAAATATATGTAATTATTGATATCAGTATGCTTATAGGTTTTTGATTGTAGGCGTTTAACTCATTTAATAATAATAAAACTAATTATTAGAAAAAAATATTAAAAAATAATAAGTAAATTCATTGTCCAATCATTAGTGTGATATACTTTGATTTCATTCATCTGAGTATACACACAAAGTGCATGATATTAAGTGTCGTTATGCATATAGTTTCTGTGCGTATGTGTTCATGCTCTTATAAATATGTGTAAGCACATATTTTTGGTGGGAAAAATATTAAATTATAATTTGTATTAATTTTCGTTTCTCTTTCAGTTTTGTAGCAATCTTGCGAAAGTAGCTTTACAGTTTCCTGTATTCAGTCGGAAAATTTCAGTCTATGTATAATGTGGTACAAAGTTTTTCTTAGAAATTTATTTTTGGAATTTCTCAATCACAAACAAATCAATAATATCACCTAATGTCACTTTTAAATATATAGGTTAATTTTTATAAAGTGGTAAGAAACATTTTCAGCTGAGTTAACATCATGGACGAACTTAAACTAAGTAATCATATAAAACTGAAATGCAATTAATAACTGAATCATTACAGGTCCGAAACTGTCAAATAGTAAGTACCCACTACATCATCAATACAGAATCCAGGAGTTCTAAGTCTTGTGGCTGGCACATTACCCTGAGTTCATTAAGTCAATATCCAATAATCTGCATCTCTAACTTTCGTCAAGTGATAACTCAATGATTTTATGCTTCACACATTTCTTAAACTACTATCTAGAAGTTATTCAATTATAGCAAAACGTAAGACAGGGAACACTTCAAAAAGGAACCAAGGGTTTAATGTTCAAAACTTGCAAACACACAGAGACAAGCGAATATGGGATTGCTTTCCTGGTCAAATTGACAAATAAGGTCAGATGTAGCCAGTTGCTTGTCTCATGGCAATTGTAACGTATTTAATTTTTTCGTACTACATTCAGTAATTTTGATTATAAACCTTTTACAGATAAACTTTTAAGTTAACATTCACTTCATTATTTTGAAGATATCTTTGGTAGAGAATAGAATAGAATAAGTTTGCAAATAAGTTGAAGTGTTTTTCAGTTTGTCTATTTGTAACTATATCACTAACTGTCATATTACTGACATTATATTCTATTAGTTTACGTTTCATTCTCCATCATATTTATTACGGCTTACTAATATCGAACTGTTTTTACAGATACTGATGTTCACTGGATGTCAGCGACTTTCCAATGAATCAGACTTAATAATAGATAACCCAACACATAACCCTTTCAGTCTTAAATAATAAAAATAAAATTTTTGCTTTTATCTTTATACGTTCAAAAAGGTGTGAACTACACATTAATTAAACCAGTGTTATTATAACTAACGGTAAAACGGCACTGTGAAGATGGTTTGAAAAGATGTTAAGAGTGACCTTGGGATGAGTGCATCAAAAAGAAGTCAATCTATTTGCAGCTCTGTGAAAACGTACTAAAACATACTAAAAAAACGTACACGTAAAACGCTGTCCAGCGCTTCCAGGTTTTCAATGGTTTTCTAATCATGCTCAGTTCTTGATTTAAACTAAGCACATTCTACAATCGCCACAAGCTCCCCTATACTAATGAAGTAGAGAAAATCAAAAACGCATCACAAAATGTGGGGGTATCTTAATGGGATATCAAAGTAAACTGAAAAACAAGGCAAACGTTTTATTATACACAAAGATTTGGTATATTTATGCGATTTCCTATGACTTGTGCTGTGCACATAAGACGAATTTCTGAGACATTGAGTTGTTCTGACAGAATTCTCTTTATATAAGTATAGTGATCACTATTAATTGAATATGCCAGAATAGTGCTTCTTATATTTTTTCTGTTTTCCTTTGGTAAATCATTAGAAATGATGTCTATAAATATGATGATATATCTACCTTGTCAAAGGCTTAATATAAAGTATTTTGATCAAATAGTGGTCAGTATTATTATCGAACACTTAAAATCACTCTTTTCTTTTTTATTTAGTCCGATATTTTATACAGCGATATATTCCGTTATTTATGTTCAGACGAATGTTTTGTAGTTTCCCTTTGCGAAGCCATTAGTTTTCTATTAGACATTGGTCGCAGTTTACTATCAAACTTTCCCAAATTTTTTCCAGGTATTTAGACGTTTCGATATTGTCTACGAAGAAAATACACTGGTAAATTATTTGTATATGCAACTAATCTCCGTTCTTGCTGAGTAACAGAAATTGATGAATTTTACAGGGAGGATAACGCTTATTTCATCAATGTGATAATAATGCCAAGAACGACAGTGAAAATTTAGTGGACAGAACACCAGTGGGGACAATCAAATGTATTAGACACAAAATTACAGGACTTGTTAGTAAAATCTAAGAATCATATAGTAAATGCTTAATTTACAAAATGTCCATCAGTTGTCTTAAAATGACTCAGACTTCATTGTTCCTGCATCTTCACACAAATTGTATTCTGTTTCCATTCTTTAGTGTTAGGTCCTCTTGTCTCTCTTATGCTAGACATTCTGTTTACGACTAACGTTATATACTACTTATGTCGATATAACTAGCACACACCACAAAAAGATTGTAATTAAATCATGTTGTTTAGGGAGCACAGTGTCACCACTAGTCTTATGGAAGTGGAATACAAATTTCCTAAAGCATTAGTGACAAACAATGATCAGTTTATCTGAAGATAACGACATGACATATCAGAAATTGATTGTATTCTGTTACGTAATCACATAATTAAACAAGAGTCAACGATAATGTAAAATTTAAAAGATTATTAAATCATTCAGTCAAATGTACAAAGCATTATGAATTAGAAGAAAGCAGAAAAACGATGTACTAATGTAATCAAATAGAAATTTTAAAAATTAGTTGTGTTTATATAAGGAATAAGAATAAGAAAATGTGAGTTATTTTGTCTTGAGCATAAAAAGCAATACTTCCGGTATTTGAAGTCCATATCTTAAGAAAATTTGAGAAAACTATTACTTCACTGTTGATTAATCACTTAAAAAGGCTTTGAAATTGTTTACCCGATGTTTGTTCATCAATAATAACATTCAACCGTCTGTGCTTTAAATTTGGTATTCTCACCCAACCACCCACTAAAGAAAATATTTTTCACACCACCCTCACTTTCCTTAAACCTGTCGTACAATAATATTGATAGTTTTAAGAAGGTTTTTACTGGTTATTATCGATTTAATATTGACGGAAAAACTAATAATTTATGCGATGACGAATATTTTGATAAAAGTGAGCTCGGATAATCACACTATTACCAATTCAGGTTCAGATCGTTTCCAGTAACGTTCCCGTCGGTGAAAGAGCTCAAGAGTACAGTACGAGAATTCAAGCGGGGAACATTTTACCATTCTTGATTCCCAGTTCCATAGGGAGCGGAAACCGTACATCAAGCTTGTGTCCTGTAAGACTGGTCGCAAAGCTGCCAGAAAACATCCCAGTCCTTCTTAAAGAAAGAGGTAGGTGTAATAGTTTAATAAAGCTGTTTCTCCCAGTGTTCTATCAAAATGTAGTTGTTCAATATCTACATTTTCCAAGGAGACAGATGGATATTTGAATTCGATTTGTGAAAACGTGCACCACAAATGTCAATGCAATGCATTGGCTTATCGTGATAGTTCATGGAAATGGAAGCCAGCGGAATTGGAGTACGAATCCTTCAGGCCCCTATTAGTTCCATGCACTTCTGCATACACTGGTGCATTATGTATACTCCTAATTTCCGAAGCACCTGATTCCTCAGGAGATGTCTATAGATAACACTACTAGACGCTATTATTCTTTATGAGAAATTTCATGAAGACTGACCGAGTTTTTAGGTGAGATTCTTCAAAGATTGATCTCAGCTGCGGTTTCAATCACAAAGCAATGAAGAGCTGTTTCGTCGTAGTATGAACTTCTCAACAACGCGTACACTTGAATCCTTCGGATATCAAAATCAGGACCTATATGTCCTGCAACAAATCATTAACCATTAGAACCACTGGGTCAACGTCCAGTAGTTCAATCCCAGCTTCAATCAATCTGAGATAGAACCCAACGATTCATAGTGTAGCCATGGGTGAACACTGTCAACTATTCCATACTACAACGAAATAGCTCCCCAGCACTTTGTTGTTGTCCATGGTAAAGCGAAAGACATCAGTCTGTGACGGATATTATTTTCAAATTAAAATAATTTCCATAAAACTCCTTTTAAATTATATTAATATCAAATTTCTAAGAAAAATGACAGGCTCATTACTTTAATTATTTTTTCTTTTATATTTATCCGATTGTACGACATTATTACTATTAATCATTTGAAGTTATTATATATATATAGTTTTTAAAATAAAATTGTTTCAAGTCTATTTTATGAAATGGATAGTTTATGATAACTTGAGAATTTATAGAGAATTAGCTCTTGTTCAGTCTATGGTTGCAATTTTTAGAGTAAACGATTGTGTTCCTAATTCAAGTGACCCTATCTACTTACTTACCTAATAATTACTTACTCAAATGATTTATCATTGGGTAACTGCCTGAGTACATGTTACAATTTTCGGAACCTAATAACTCTATCAATAAGTAATTCATGCAAATATTTTTTGTCATAACTGTATCACCAATTGTAATGTAAACCACATATAAAGAGAATGAATGCAAAGTGTATATATGTATTTAGTCATTCCTAGCAAAAATCTACAGCTTAGAATTTTATGCTTCTACTGATAAAGAATATTGAAAGTATGCAGGATTTTGTAATAAATGTGATGATCGAAGTTTACATCA